GCTCCAGCACCTCGATATCTCTCTTGAATTGAGGTGCCCAAAACTGGACACAACACTCCAGGTGTGGCCTCACCAGTGCTGAGTACAGGATGACAATCACCTCTCTACTTCTGCTGGTCACACTACTTCTAATAAAAGCCAGGATGCCCTTGGCTTTCTCAGCCACCTGGGCACACTGCTGGCTCATGTTCAGCCGCCTGTCAGTGAGAACCCCTTTCCTGCCAGACCCTTTCCAGCCACACTTCCCCAGGCCTGGAGCGCTGCCTGGGGCTGTTGTGGCCCGAGTGCAGGGCCCGGCCCTTGGCCTCGTTGCAGCCCAGACCATTAACACGAGCCCAGTGATCTCTCTGTGGAGCCTCCCTGCCCTGCACACCAACACTCCCTCCTAGCTCGCTGCTCACACCCAGCTCCTCACCGAGATCACCGACACAGAGGTTAAACACGAACGGCCCCAACACCGGGCCCTGAGGACACCACTTGCTGACTAATGCTTTTCAAGACTAAAATCAACCAGCTTGCCTGGGACGCGCGGTCTGTGAGAAGCTGGGAGCGTTACCGGTACCGCAACCCGGAACGGGGAAGGTGGGGCTTTGCAGGGGCAAACGGCTCCTCCCGGCCAGGCCGGGGCCGCACACGGCGCTCCCGCAGCCCCGCACGGGGACGGGAACGGGAACAGCCCCGCTTCGCTTCCCCGGGACCCGCGGCCTGCCCCAGCAGCGGGACAGTTCCCGGGGAGCCTGCACCGCAGCTCCCCCGGGCTCCCGCCCCAGCAGCTCCCGCAGCTCCCCCGGGGCAGCTGCGAAAGGCCGCGGCGGGGCCGCCTCGGACGCCGGAACGCACATCACCTCAGTCGCTGGGGTGAGCCGAGATGCAACAGCAAGGCCAGGGCAGTTGAGGTTCAAAAGGGGCTGCAGTCTGAAAGCACAGGGCCTCGGAGGATGCCCAGGAGCCGGCACCGAACCGCAGCCTGCCAGCACCAGGCCTTCCGAACACCTTCCACAGGCAGGGAACTCTTGTCCAGAAGTAACTGTTGCTTCTTTATGGCTTAATCCATAGTTCTAACTAACAGTCTGCTTTGTGCTTCCGTGACTTTAAAGTATCAGCCCTGTAAAATAGATAAAACCCAAGGAAACAGATTAATAAAAGCTCTGGGTTTGGGCATGTAAAAGTACAGCACTTTAAATTGCATTATTATATATGATAAAGGGCAATCGGGCACTTCACTGTACACACAAACCTTTTGCATGTCTTTGCTTAGACAGTTTTTCTTATCACTCAAGAACTCCACCCGAGGTGGGGAAAAAGAAAGGAGGCCCATTGCGTTGAAAGGGAAACATTTAATAAAATAGTAGCAAAAACTACTACCAATACTACTGCAAAACGCACAAAGTGATGCTTACCTAGCACCACAGCTCTGGTGAAAGTGTAGCAGCCACAGCAACCAGAAGAGCAGAACCTCAGGAGCAGAAGGGCAGGGAAGAGCTCCCCGGGGGTGGCAGCCACTGAGGAAACAGACCTGTCACCAGCAAACTTCCTTATCTATAGTGAGTGTGACATCTGTGGTGCAGAATGTTTCTGTTGGCCAGTTGGGGTCAAGGGCCCTGGCTTTAGCACCTGGTTAATTCAGAACTGCTGAAGACCTCAATGACTATGGAAGCCCACACGCCAAGGCTGGCCACAAACTAAAGCAAAGTGTCTTAGCAGCTTCGTCACCACGGAATTGGGTGCTGCAGTCTGCTCAGAAATGCAGCTTACCTGAACAGAGCAAGAGATTCTATAATTCTCTCCCAGCAAAAATCAAGACAAAGGAAAAAAGCAACACATTAAAGATTCAGAGTAAATTCCTTTTTATTTGTTTTACAAAGTCAAAAACATCCAGACTGTTTAGTCCAATGTTTCCACATCAGATCCAGAGCAAACCAAGGCATGTGCTCTTAACATAACTTTATACCACTGACTTCACCATCCCTGTCCCCCAAAAAATAAGAAAACTATGGGATAGGATCTTCATCTCATTTTTGATCAGCACCATTGCATCGGTATTCAGGTTTTTTCAATGTACAGAAATGTTAGCCCCAAATCATGTCTCAGTAGAACATATTTTACTCCAAAAATCAGAGCTTGAAATTATTATTTCAAGGACAGAAAACAACCTCTACTCTTCAACTTCAGGAAGTCACCACAAAAAACACTGGTAGCTGCTTGCAATTTGATTTGCATTGTAAGTTTCGATATATTTTATGCTTATAAAAAAGAATATTAGAGACCAAAATCTTTATCTCCTGAGTAAACAAATAGAAACAACGGAGCACAGGCTTCTATTCCCGTGTCTCCTGGAGGTGGGGAACTTCAGCCTCACTGGAGCACCCCATTTTGAAATAGAACCACAAAACAAGTCAGCTAATTTTAACACAATTCAATTTAAAGTAAATTAAATTTAAAATGTTCTATATTTGGAGAAGTTCTTGTTTTTAAAGCTGTTTCAAATACTCAGGATGCACATTTCAAAGGGCCTCACCAAAAAGACAGACTGACACACACTTCAAAAGGAATTTAATCATTGCTGACAAGGAGAATAACTCATTTCAAGCTCTGTGTTTAAAGTGCCCAGAATCTTTTACACAGCAACCAGTACAAAACACATAACTTGTGACATTTATCTACATTGTGTAATCACCACCTATTACAAAGAGCAGGCACTGAACTTTAAAAAATGTTATTACAAGTCATAAAGATTACATATTACTGAAAAGTTAGAATCCATACTCAAGAACCAAGAATTGAAATAGTTTTTGCAGTGTTACTTTATGTATATATTTATAGATGAGCAATTACACTCATTTTGGGTTTTGGCTCATTTCCCTCAGGTTCATAACTAAAAACCACACTGGACCATGCAAGCAGGGGAGCACTTGTGAGCTGGCTGACAATACAGAATCTCTGCAAGTACCCAAATTCTAAGCTGGGAAAAAGTTACACTCTGTCAAAAGTACCAGGTCACCTTTTGAACTAAATATGCTCCCTCCCCACTCCTCCCAACCTGTCCAGGAATACATAAGAATTACCTTATTCCTGCCCTTTGCCTGTGTGCAGAATACAAAGATGTGATGGACACTATATAACCAAGCTGTTACTCAACAGCGCAACAGTCTGACCAAGTCCATGTAAGTACTTCTTGAAGCACACTGCAATTTTAGTCCAAAGCACTTCCCACCCCCAATAAGATCTGTAAGCAAATAAAGCCTATTTTAAAGTCAGTATTAGAAATTAACAGTCCTGTTTCACCTGTATCCTCAGAACATGAACTTTGCTTGCTATAAAGCACACCTACGATTGCAGATATTTAAAACATTAAGTCTACTTGGTGCTCCACCATGGGTGTGGAACCTACAGAAGTTCCAGGTTTCTGAGATCAAGTTGCCTCCAGCTTACTTCTGCTTCATTTTTTTCAAAAAACGAGCCCGTATTTGTTTGTTTGTTTTCATGAGAATATGAAAGACAGCAGGTGTAGGTAGAAAAGAGAACATCCATCCCTAAAAAAAGAGGGGAGGAAAAGTCTCAGCTTTTTATACCTTGTACCAAGCAAAATCTAACCATTACCCACAGGTATTATTACCAAGTTATGGTTAGAAGCTGAATTACAAAAATATTTAATATTAAAAACTGTTCATAGAATCACAGCATGGTTTGGGTTGGAAGGGACCTTCAAAATCATCTAGTTCCAATCCCCCATCCCACTAGACCAGGTTTCTCAAAGTCCCATCCAACCCGGCCTTGAACACTTCCGTAATGAGCACATCCCAAGGACATTCCAGATCTTAGGCTTTCCAAGGGGACTTACCATGAGTGCATGGGGCAAGCACCCGTTGGTCCGGGTCTGCAGGCCGACCGTGCCCAGGGCAGCTCTGACATAGGTCTCAGGAGTGGGCTTATCGAAGGTCGGCTTGCGGATCTGGGTCATTTTTGTTGCCACGAAATACGGTAGAACACTCTGCACACAGGAAAGATCACGTTAAGCACAGAATGCTTTCAGATTAACTTAAGGATCCATTAATAAACTAGAATCACTGGAAATTAGGTAACCTGTATACTGAATTCTAGCTGAAACAGCCTTCTTCGTGGTTCTGGCTATAAGTTCACAATGTACGGTATGAAAACCCTTTTTAATCAAATGCCTTGTAAGCCATGTTTGGATAGTTTAGTGGTCTGCTGACAGTCAGCATTCCCAGTTGGGGCCCTAGAAAAACTACTCTTGCAAACCTGTGGCTGAAAAGACTTCCTTAAAATTTTTTAGTTCAAAACTTCATTCCAGCTTTTTAACAGAAAATGCTGTAGTGCTCCTTCTCTGTGGTAAAATCCCAATGTTTGCCTGGGAAGGAAGCACAGAACCCAAGACAGGGATTTTATACTTGACTAACCAGATGCTCTGTTTGGCTTGTACAGAGAGGCAAAGAGGAAATTGAACATCAGGAGACTTAGAAAATTGAGCTCTTCACAGAAGGGCTTGGAGGAAGAAGGAGATATCAGTACCAAAGTGGAAGACCTCAAGGACATAAGGAATAGCCAAGAAATGGAGCAGAGTTAATGTGCTTCTACAGCAATGTTTGGAAGAAACAGAAAAAATGACAGTGGGTCTCAGAACTACCAGGCCCTGGCATAACGGAAAAGCAAAAGGAAGTGGCATGGGTATGTGGCTGACAGAGAAACACTGGTACCACAAAGGCATGTCCATGGTAGGGCAAGACAGATCTGCGGAATCCAAAACCACATTCCACACATCCCCAGCTCATGCACTGGAGAAAGAAAGGGAATGCATGTATAGTTGCACACTAGGACGCAACACTCTTT